GCAGATGGTCCCATCTGAGGGGAGAGAGTCTAGTGCAGCGACCCCGGCCCTGACCACCCCCCTCCTCCCTGCCCCTGCCGAGGGCCGTGTCTCAGGGTGGGCGCGCCCTTCCCACCCCACCCTCTCTTGCTGTGCTAACTGCACCTCCTGTCGCCGCCGGGTTCCAGAACGCAGAGGAAAACTCTCGCATCTCCATCACCTTCTTCCGCCTCTTCCGGGTCATGCGTCTGGTCAAGCTGCTGAGCCGCGGGGAGGGCATCCGGACGCTGCTGTGGACCTTCATCAAGTCCTTCCAGGTAGCCGCCACCCCCTTCCCCGCCGGTGTCCCTGGAGCCCAGGATGACCCCTGGGCCCCCTGGATGGAGCTCTCGCCAGAGGGAGTCAGCCCTCCTCTGGCATCCAAGACAGACCCAGGGCCACTCTTCCCTCTGCCACTCACGAACCGTGTGGCCACAGCGTGTCCCCTCGCTTTGTTCCCTCGTTTCTACAGTGAGAGCCTCAGATGCAACATATGGGTTTCCAAGGCAGGTCCCCAGAGCCTCAACGTCCCCAAAGACAGGTGGGAAGGGAAGGGCGGGAGGTCAGGGGGAGGCTGAAAGGATCTGCTTTCTTCTCTCATGTGGGTCCTTCTCCGTGGGAATTGACTGGACAAAGGGGTCTTTGTGGTAAGGAACAGGCTTGACGACATGGCCCGGACAGTCTGGGAGCTTTGGTGGCTTCTCCACGGGCGGCCTTCTCAGAATCCGGCTGTCGCCTGCCTCCCCACGGGCATGCCAGCCGCATCCGCTGACCGCACCTGCTTATGTCTTCAGCCAAACTCTCAGGGACCCTGGTGTCCCTCTACTTGAGGGATGAGGTCCCCTCGGGTGGGCATAGGACTGCCCAGCAATGTAATTAAACTCCTTTTCTCAGCCATTGTTTTCCACCTGTAAAACCAGAATGACGATCTCCCTGGCCAGCTCCGAGAGGTGTTATGTAAGTCTGAAGTTAGAGAGAAGCAAAGCTGTTAGGTCACTCGAATTCCTTGACAATGAGTGTAGACATCCGTGAATATGGTTTCATGCTGCCCTGGCCCGGCTTCTCGCCTTCCACGGAGGTGTCATCTCAGACCTCCCAAGACCGGGCATCAGCAGAGAAGATGGCTTCCCGTGTCCCCTTCCCTGGCCAGTCCCAGCCTAGAAGAGGGGCATGCTCTCGGCCTGTGGTCCAGGCATGCTGGTGTCTGCAGTTACAGCCAGAGGAGAGGTCCCCACCCTGCTTGGAGTCCTACCCCAGAGGCGCAGTTCCCAGGCCGCCTCTGACCCGGGCCTCACTGTCCGGGGCCCTTGATTGGACCAGAAATCTAGAGTCCAGAAATCTGGGATCCTAGCTGAGTCGTCCAAGCTGTCGGGCAGATAATATGTTGGCAGCCGGTCCTGACAGCCGGTCCTGTCCAGCCGGGTCCAAGTTGACTCCCCACTTAGTGATGAGCTCTGGCTACCCCACCCCACGCCCGACCTGGCCTGGGGTCTCTGGGGATTTGAAGCCACAGCCACCCATGGGAGCGGGACCGGGTTCCCACCTGTCCATGGGGGTTCTAAAGCTGTGTGTAGCCAAGTAGCCCCCCCCGATATCCTCATCACACCCCTGACATGTCCCTGGGCTAGGAAGAGGCTTGCAGACTGGGTGACCACGAGGACGAGACTGGGGGTGGGAGAGCCCGCCAGCCAGAAGCATCGTGTGGTCTCGTGGTGCCATCTAGCGGTGGCTGGGAGGCTGGCACAACCCCTCTTTAGAGACGCAGAGGGTATCTAGGCCTGCTGTGCCTCTCCCCAAAAGTGATGAGGCTCCTAGCCAAGTTGTCCAAGCCGTCGGGCAGATAATATGTTGAGTGCATACAGTGTTTGGGACCCAACTCGGTGCGAGGCGTTGCCCTAAGCACTTTGTAAGCCTTAAATCATTTAAACTCCACATGACCCCTGGGTTGCAATTATTACTCCTACTTTTCAGACGAGACCGAGGCTCAGAGAGGTTGAGTAACCGCCCAAACGCTCACAGCTGGAGTTGGAGAATTTGAGCCCATGATCTTTCTTTTAAGTTTTTATTGAATGTTTTAACCACAATAGCAACACCTGCTCACTACGTCTAGTGGAACAAAATTAAACTGAGTAAAGAAAGAGTGCCAACTGCCTCCACCCTTCTCTGCAACCCGAGATATGGCCAGCTTGGTGGGTATCCTCTGGGACCTCCTCCTGGCTTGTACGAATACACTGGAATGTGTATCATCAGAGGTGGTTCGGCTCGCTCTTGATTTTCGTTTTGTTTCGTTGGGCTTTTTCGTTGCTGTTATTGTTATTGTTGTTGTTTGGAGACAGGGTCTCTGTCACTCAGGCTGGAAAGCAGCGGCACGATCATGGCTCACTGCAGCCTCGACCTCGTGGACTCAGGCGATCCTCCCACCTCGGCCTCCCGAGTCGCTGGGACTACAGGCACATACTGCCACACCCAACTCATTTTTGTATTTTTTGTGGAGACAAGGTCTCACTCTGTTGCCCAGGCTGGTCTCAAGTCCCTGGGCTCGAGTGATACACCTGCCTTGGCCTCCCAAGGGTCTGGGAGCCACCACACCCGGCCTGACTGCTTTGGGTGGCATATTACCACACTCTATCCATGACCCGGCGAACTGCCTTTAAAACCAAGCTACACTGAAGGGTCAGTGCCCACTTCTGAGGCCCTCTCCCCGATGCCCAGTACTTCTGCGGGGCGCTTGGCGATGCCCCCGCCCAGGGCCGGGCAGCTGCTGCGCTGTGGGGCCGGCCGGCCCACCCGCCC